TTACATATTTAATGATGGGTTTCAAATTTTATATATTTATAACAAATTTTATATATTTACAATCATATATGGTTCGAGTAAATAAATGATTTTTTTTACAAACAAAATACGAAAATGTCCGATGTTTTCCCGAAAAAATCCAAAAACATATTACTATCACGATTTAAAAAAAAAATCATATACTTCCGAAATCGGAATTGATTTTCATTTTCCCAACCTTTTGCAATCAGAATTCAAATTGAATTTTCACTCCCGGAAGTTTTCCGAAAGTATGTTTTACGATCTGATCAGTCCGATTTCCACCACTAAATATTGTGTTTCCTAAGTATATTTTATAATTTTATCTGATATTTTTACAAAATATCTTACCCTTTTAGTAGACCCACTGATAACAACCCTTTACCAACATGCCAAATACAACTTTCTCTGTTCCATTTTTCTCCTATTATTCATCTCTCATTCAGTCAGGTCCTACCTAATCACCCACAGTATTCACACAAACACACACACACACACACACACACACACACACATATATATATATATATATATATATATATATATATATATATATATATATATATATGTCTCTTTTTATAAGATACATTCAACCTGAGCAATTTTCTTTACTTTCCTTTATAAAAGAAAAAGCATCAAAACCCTCCCATGGAAGTTGGATAAGTGACCATATATTCATCTGAATTTAAATAAGCAAAATTTCGTTCGGTTATACACTATGGTTTCTCAGCCGATCAAAGCATCTCCGCAAAGCTCAAATCGAGCATATTCCAGTTCAAAAAAAGATTCTTCCATTGCACAAGAAACTTTCGAGTACTACTCAACTTCTTATTTTTCTTTCTCATGCACCAAGTCACAGTAACTCGTTACCACAACATTTTCTAACTATTTTTGCTTCATTCTTTTGCAGAATTTCCTTAAAAAAACGAAAAAGCGACTAAAAACAGAAAAAAACGAAAAACGATTTACTCTTATAAACAGATTTATTACCTGATGTCCGATGTTTTCTGCTTCTTCTTTTCCTCTCCTTCTGTAAAAAAAAAAAAGACTGTTTGTAGGCTCATGGAATATAGGAGGCGTCTCACCGCCCGATAACCTGAACCTCGACGATTTTCTCGACACGAAAAACAGCACGGCGGATATATACGTCATTGGGTAGTATTTCAACTTTTTACGTGCATGTAATTAAGTAGAATATATAATGACAAGTCATAACCGAATATATATTGTGGTAGGTTTCAAGAAATCGTGCCACTCAATCCCGCAAACATTTTGGCGCCAGAAAACAGCAACTTATCGAAGAAATGGAATTCGTTAATTCAAACGGCGCTCAACAAGAGAATCGTGACAGAAGATAGACCACAAAAGGTAGAAATCGGAGAGACGCAGAGGATTTATCCCCTAAAGAAAGACAGCTCCGATTTTAAATGTGTAATAAGTAAACAAATGGTCGGAATATTTATCACCGTGTGGGCGAGAACAGAGCTACACGGTTATATCAGCCATCCAAGTGTCTCATGTGTCGGCTGCGGAATCTTGGGCCGCCTGGGAAATAAGGTAACAGAAATAATTGTTATTATTCTTCATAAAATATATATATATAACAATATCTCATAAAAATATTATTTACTATTTCATAACAGGGTTCGGTCTCGATCAGATTTTGCTTGTACGAAACGAGCTTTTGTTTCGTGTGTAGCCATTTAGCTTCGGGTGGTAAGGAAGGCGACGAGAGGTACAGAAATGCAGATGCAGGACATATTTTATCGCGCACGCAATTTCTAACCGAACGGCATCTGCCCAGAAAAATACTTGACCACGAGTACGTATTTTTAGATCTTTTCTGTATACGGTGTTTTATATATTATTTACATCGGGCAATCATTTGAAAAAAATAAAATAATATTTTTTTTATACAGTCGGGTGATTTGGCTAGGCGACTTGAATTATAGGATTTCACTGCCTGAGGATACGACAAGATCGTTAGTGATAAAGAACGAGTGGAGTATCTTATTACAAAATGACCAGGTAACTAACTGTAAAAACAGGAATACAATTCAAGATAATATGAAGGGTAAATTACAACCACCCCTGAGGTATGGCCAATTTATGAAAAAACCTCTCTTGTTTGGATAATTACATCTACCCCTCAACTATGATTTTTTCTTACACCTCCACCCTTATGGTGTTAAATTCAACATAATCATCTAGATTTCGTGGAATGTGTTCTAGTTTGTATTCGTTTTGTGTAAAAATACAGTTTCTGATACACCACGATCAGATATATACAAGCCAAAAAACACATATTATGATGATCTTGCTTCAAAATGTGGAGTTCGAATGGGATAACACGGGTACAAAAGTGATAATATTCCTTATAATCTAGAAGATTCCACTAAATTTGAAACCGCAAGGGTGGACGTATAAGAAGATTTATAGTTGAGGGGTGATTGTAGTTTCCGTAATTTGACCATACCTCAGGGGTGGTTGTAATTTACCCTAATATAAGAGATCAGCTATCTAATTTCAAATTGTTCGATTATGAAATAAAGCTGAAAGCTGAGCTGAAAAAAGGCCGTGTGTTCGAGGGTTGGCATGAGAAAGAAATTACGTTTGCACCGACGTATAAGTATGACGAAAACTCGGATAATTACTACGGATCAAATCAGAACATAAAAGCAAAGAAAATGCGAGATCCTGCATGGTGAGCCATCTTTTTCCGTTTAATTCTATTCGTGTAGTTTCTTAGTAAAGTGTGGCTGAATTTAAATTTGAAAAAATTAAATTTTGTAGGTGCGATCGAATAATTTGGTTTGGGGAGGGATTGAAGCAGATCAATTACGACAGATTTGAATCTAAGTTATCCGATCATAGACCTGTTCGAGCAATTTTCGTAGCATGTATTAAAGTATCTAGACCGTCGAGAGAAACACAGAGCATACTGTTAAACGGATTTCCCGATTCATCAATATAATAAAAGAAAGAAAAAAAAGATTATAAAGATTTCTTCCCTCCTAATTGAAGTTTCACATAACAGACAGTCATGAAAATTAGTCACACGATTTGACGAGAGTAATTAAGCAATCAGTATTAAACACACAAATGAAATGTAAGAAAAACTTTTGGATGATAATTTATAGGTACATTATCGATAACATTTTCGGTTAACGCACCTCAAAGACTGCTTGAGCATCAGGGTCGAATGTTTTACAAAGAATCTCATAGCTTTTCTCTGGTCCTAACTGCAAAAGAAATGTAACGATGAATCACGTATGAAATTGGAGAAAAATCAAATGATTTAAAAACATTAGACTATATGGAAGTGAGTGCTCGAACCAATGGATCAACTCTCGAAGGTGAAATTGCAGAAATCGTGTACCTGCAGAAGGAAAAAAAAAAAAAAAAGTAAATACCGAAAAACTGTAGTTCAACACTTACGGTTAACCTATTTTGAAAACTAGAATACATAAACAAAATAACCGTTCGAACCATTGTAATAGATATGGAAAAAACCCGATGAAGTATATAGCGAAATACCGAAGTTTACTAATATAGAAGTCCATTGCCAACCGATTTGCTCTTTGAACAGTTAGCACCACAGCACCCATTCCGCACTGAAAAAAATAAAATATAAATATAAATATCGACTTTCTATCGAACAAATCATGACCCGGTATTTATCAACTGATACTTAAATTCGACCATTTATCACGCATTTAAAAAATAATATCAAAGATATTCAGCAGCTAAGGATTTATTGTACCTCGCAAGCAATAAGCTCGATTAATTGCATTAGGAATTTTCCCAACCCCTTGCCATGAACACGAGGCTCGAGCTGTAATTCGTAAACATAAACAACGGGAACTTCTTCCTCCACAACAAACCGGTAATGTACGAAACCAACAATGGGGCCCACACAACGGCATACACTATTCTTGCCCTTTAATTCAGAGGCTTCGTTCAAGATTTCGTGGACAAATATATAACATGCTTCCTCCGCAACCATTTCTCGTCGCTTTATCTTTTCTTCAGCAGCCCACTCGGATCCGTAAGGCGCCTCCATATTTAACTTAAAATAATATATATAATCACAAAGTTATAAGACAAAATTAAGTTTTATATGTTTGGAAAATACAACGGATGTATTAATATACAGGATTAATGTTACCTTGAGCAGATTTTGTATGTACTTTCTTGTAGCAAGTGTTAGTTTATTGCCACGCCCCGAATCCAAGTGTGCATGAAATTCTAGTAATGAAAAAATCGAAAAGCATTATAGATTTTTAAATCGGTGTCTCGCTCGAGATAATAAGCACAAGAAAAAAAACCATGCAAGCCATCCATGTTAAATTCCATTTTCGATTCCTAATTCGCCACATATACGAAAACCCGTCAAATTCTGCTTTGAATTACCAATTAAATCAAGGGTAAATTACAGCCACCCTTGAGGTAATGTCAAATTACGAAAAAAAACACTCGTGTTTGGATAATTACAACCACCCACTCAACTATGAATTTTCTTACATGTCCACTCTTGCATTGTCAAATTTAGTGGAATCTTCTAAATTATGTGGAATATTCTCCAGTTTGTACCCGTTTTTTTCCCATTCCAGCTCCACATTTAGAAACAAGATGATCATAAGATGTGTATATTAGCTAATAAATATCAGATTGTGGTGCATCTGAAACTACATTTTTGCACAAAACGAGTACAAACTATAAAACAGTTTACGGAATTTGAATTTGACACTATAAGGGTGGACGTGTAAGAAAATTCATAGTTGGGAGTGGTTGTAATTGTCCAGACATGAGGGGGTTTTTCGTAATTTGACCTTACCTCAAGGGTGGCCGTAATTTACCCATTAAATCAAACACATTGCTTCTGAACTGACTATGGTGACCTTTTAATATAGTTGATCAAACGAAAATTAAAGGAACCTAGCTAATTATTTAATCCTAGTGGCGGAATTGCGGGAATTATTAAAAAAAAAAAAAAAAAAAAAAAAAACAAAAAAATACCCAACCATTTCGTTTGTAGTGGCGGAATTGCGGGAACTTAGAGAGATGATCTTTAACCAGAGAAGCAGCTTTGATTACATTTTCTGTTGATTTCTTCTTTTCCAGTATCTGCCTTCAAAAAAAATTTGGGAAATTTGATATTAAATTGAGGAAATGCTCGTTTTATTAAAACCCTAGAAAATAATTAATGGGTAAATCTTTACATACCTCTCTCCTTGTCTTCTTTGCTCTGTGTTCAATTTTTCCTTCAGCATCCATTGCTGTATGCGCAGAATTTTCTCTTCTTTACCGTTTTGGTGTTAATTTCGTTCGCTATTTATATTAAAGGATTTTTTTTTGCATAAATACCCCTCAAAACTTTGGTAATTACGGGAAGGTGCCAAATTGATTTTCAAATTTTGTTGGCTTTTTCCTGCTCTCACTCGCTTCTCTGCTGCGGAAGCCTTCCTTAATTACTCCGACCACCGTTCTCCGCCGCCCGTACGGCGGTTCCCGTAAGCCAAACAATTTCTCACGGTGTGCCATAGTTCTCAGTTAGAGAGATTGATTGAATGACAAGTGTTTGCCCACTTCCAATTTCACATTGAAATTTGAAACTAGCCAGGGTTTTGATTTCACTATTTGTGTACAGTATTTTGATTTTCCGGTAGGGTTACCGATGGTTTCACCGGAAATAATTGATGGTTAGTTTTCTCTCTCTCAATGGTTCTCATAAGGGTTCGTCGGAGGTCCTCTTCGCAGTTTTTCGGTTACCAATTTCCGATCGAAGTTTCAGCAGATTTCTTCTACAAGGTTCAGTTTTTTTAATTTATTCCTTTGTTTATTTTCCTTTCAATCTGTGTAGATTGTTATGCAATTGCTTTCTAGTGCATATTAGGCTTCAAAAAATTGTTATTGAATGTGAATTTATGGATAATGTTTTTGTAGCGGCGACAATCGTCTCGTTCCTTCAATCGGTCCCCAGTCGAAGAAAACACGAACAATTTTACCGGATCATATTCCCATATAAAGAGAAATAATAATTTTTGCTCTCAATGGTTGCAAAGGGTTTATATTAGTCATCGAACGTACCACGCAGCGATTCTAGACGAATGCGACGAGATTAAATACTTGCCCGGCGTGGAGAACATTCCTGGAGAAACATTGAATATTGGGTTGCGTAAAGATAATGTAACTAGTGAATTACATGTTCTTGATGATTTTTCTGGATGTAGATATTCGAGCCCCGTGAAGAAATTGTACAGTGAAGTATCGAGTCTTTTTTCACGGATGTGTGACAATAATATTAGCCTAGATGATGGAGCTGTAGCTAGTATTTTACAAGCTTGCACTGGTTCTAAAGTTCCGTTTCAATTCGTTCAACAGATTCATGCTAAGATCATCCATTGTGGTTTGAGTACAAGCCCGCAGGCCTGTAACCCTCTTATCGATTTTTACCTTAAGAATGGATTTGTAGATTCCGCAATTCAAACGTTTAAAAATATGTACACAAGGGACAGTGTTACTTGGGTTGCCATGATATCAGGCTTGTCTCGAAATTTCCGTGAATTAGAGGGTATTCTCCTTTACTGTGAGATGCGAAAATTAGGAGTATTCCCCACTCCGTATATTTTTTCAAGCATTATAAGTGCCTGCTCGAAGATAAACTTGTATGAACTCGGTGAGCAACTTCATGCTCTAATCCTCAAGTGGGGATTTTCATCAGATCTTTTCGTATGCAACGCTCTTGTTGCACTTTACTCTAGATGTGGGAATTTAACATTTGCTGAACTGATTTTCAGAGAAATGCAGCGTAGGGATAGAGTTTCGTACAACACTCTGATTTCAGGACTTGCTATGCGAGGATCGACCGAGAAATCTCTCGAGTTGTTTGAGAAAATGCACGCCGAGTCCTTCAAACCTGATAGTGTTACGGTTGCCTGTCTCTTTGGCACCTGTGCATCAATGGGGGATCTTCGTAAGGGAATGCAGCTGCATTCGTATGCAACCAAGGCAGGAATGTGTTCAGATATCATCGTTGAAGGTTCTCTGCTAAACTTTTACGTAAAATGCTCCGATATTAAAACAGCCCATAAATTCTTTCTTGCAACAAAAACAAATAACGTGGTACTGTGGAATGTGATGCTAGTGGCGTATGGACAGATAGGCGAACTCGTGGAGTCGTTCCGTATTTATTCAAAAATGCAGATCGAGGGTTTGCAGCCTAATGAGCACACGTATCCTAGTATTCTAAGAACGTGTACCTCTGTTGGAGCACTTGACCTAGGAGAGCAAGTGCATACACAAGTTATAAAAACCGGATTCCAGCCAAACGTGTACGTCTGTAGCGTTCTTATAGACATGTATGCGAAACATAGAATGTTGGAAACTGCTCTCAAGATATTCAGACGTCTTAGTGAAGACGATATCGTTTCTTGGACAGCCATGATTTCAGGGTATGCTCAGCATGACATGTTCTCCGAAGCTCTGAAACTTTTTGGAGAAATGCAAGAACGAAGGATTCGATCGGACAACATAGGATTAGCGAGTGCGATAAGTGCGTGTGCTGGAATTCAGGCTCTCAATCAAGGACGGCAAATTCATAGCCAGTCTATTGTTAATGGATACTCTTTGGATCTTTCGGTTGGAAATGCACTTGTTTGTCTCTATGCTAGATGTGGTTGTACACTCGAGGCACACTTGGCTTTCGAGAAAATGAATGCTAGAGATAATGTCACATGGAATGGATTGATATCGGGTTTTGCACAGAGTGGGAAGAGTGAGGAAGCACTGAAGCTATTTCCTCAAATGATTCGAGTTGGAGAAGAGGCTAATATGTTCACCTACGGGTCTACTGTTAGTGCAGCAGCAAATTTAACGAATTTAAAATTAGGTCAGCAAGTCCATGCCAGAACAATAAAAACAGGGTTTGATTATGAAACAGAAGTATGCAACGTATTGATTACATTGTATGCAAAATGCGGGCGCCTCGATAGTGCTAGGAGGGTGTTCATCGAGATTCCTCACAAAAACGAAGTTTCTTGGAATGCTATGATTACTGGTTATTCTCAACACGGATACGGTAAGCAAGCTATACAACTTTTCGAGGATATGAAAATATTCCAAATGATGCCGAATCATATAACGTATGTGGGAGTTTTATCTGCATGCAGCCATGTGGGATTGGTTGAGGAAGGGCTTAGTTACTTCAAAACGATGAGCGAACATCATGGTTTAGCACCAAGAAACGAACACTATGCCTGTGTGGTTGACGTTCTTGGAAGGGCAGGTCAAGTTTCCCGCGCGAGAGAATTCGTGGAGTCTATGCCAATCGAACCGGATGCAATGGTGTGGAGGACCCTCTTAAGTGCCTGCACGGTTCACAAGAATAGGGAAATTGGCGAAATCGCAGCGAAGAATCTTCTAGAATTAGAACCGAAAGATTCCGCTACTTATGTTCTAATGTCCAATATGTATGCAGTTACTGGTAAATGGGATTATCGGGATCGAGTAAGACAGCTCATGAGAAATAGAGGTGTGAGGAAAGAACCCGGCCAGAGCTGGATCGAAGTAAAGAACTCAGTTCACGCGTTTTTTGTCGGTGACAAGCTCCACCCTCTTGCAGATCAGATTTACAATTATTTGAAAGATTTGAACGAGAGGGTGGCTGCGATTGGCTATGTGCAGGACTACAGTAGCCTATGGAATGATTTGGAGCTGGAGCAGAAGGACCCCACTGCACATATCCACAGTGAGAAGTTGGCCGTTGCTTTTGGACTTATGAGTTTGTCTGAGATGATTATTCCTTTGCATGTGATGAAGAACTTGCGCGTTTGTAGCGATTGCCATAATTGGCTCAAATTTGTGTCGAAGATTGTCGATCGGACTGTTATCGTACGCGATTCGTACCGCTTCCATCATTTTGAAAAATGGGAGTTGGTTCGTGTAAAGATTACCTGGTAGTTTGGAACAGATCTAGATGGTTTTACACCTGCCATTCAGGTAACCAGTTTCATTAGTGTTGATAATATTTATTTCTACGAAAACCAGCCTTGAATGTAGGAGTTGCCTCTCCCTTTGAGATAACATATACATGTTTAAGAAATTTAAAGCAAGGGTAGAATTCAAAGGTCTCGATTGTAAATATAATAGTAAAGATCAAGATTGTTTTCTTGGTTTTTCGTATTGTGGTTAACTGCTCGTTTATTCATACCAAATTGTGTAAATACAGTGATGAGGTGTAACTTTGGCAGAAATCCTACTGAAGCTGAATTTCAAGATATGATCGATGAAGTTGATGCCGATCAAATTGGACCGTTGACTTGCATGAATTCTTGAACTTAATGGCTTGGAAGGTGAAGGTAAGTTTTATTTACCTGAAAAAAAAATTATAATTACTCGAGTGCGAACTCAATCCAGTGTCTGTTTTGTAAGTGTGTGTGTGTGTGTGTGTGTGTGTGTGTGTGTGTGTGTGTGTGTGTGTGTGTGTGTGTGTGTGTGTGTGTGTGTGTGCGCGCGTGCGTGTGTGTGTATATGCCAAATAAAATTAACATGGTTCTCTATTTATGAAGGACGACTCGGAGAAGGAACTTAAAGAAGCTTCTTTCAAGGTGTTGGGTAAAGATCAAAATGGTTTCGTTTCTGCTGCAAAGGTATTTCTACCGATTCTGTTTTACTTTTACCCTTTGCTTATTTCAATCGAAATATATGCTCTTTAACCATTGCAGTATAGCTCTTGGTTTTTATTTTCCTTTTAAACTTTTTAATTTTTAAATTGGATGTGAGAAATGCAGCTCCGATATTTGATGACCAACCGTATGGAAAAACTGACAGACGAGAAAGTTGACGAGACGATGCGTGGATGATGTCATAGAAGATATCCTAAAGTATGCAATATGGAAAATAAAATAAAATAAATTATTTTTCCTCTTGATGAAACTGCTGTGTTTTCTTGGAAGCTGACAATGAACCCTATGTTTATGTAAGTTCGATCGATTTTGAAGGACCCTGAAATACTTACGAAGCTGTAGTAGACTACGTTGCATGTTTGTTTGGATATTTTTCTATGTCTAAATTCGAATATTCGAGTTTCTGGAAAATCACTTCAGTATTTGTAAGCGACCGTTAGCAAGGGTATTCGAAACATATTATGCGCTGCTTTGGAGTTTCAAGGAAGGGACATGAAATTATTTATTTTTGTCCAACTTTACCCTAACATTAATTAATGATAAATTAATGGAGTAAATAAATAAAAAAAAAAAAAAAAAAAAAAAAAATTCAAATTAGAGGAGTAATTTACTATTGCAGCACAAAAACATCAACTTCTCAATGTTTCCGCGTTTCGGAAACTCGAAAACACCTGCTGGACACCTTATGGGCCATTTTATAATTTCTAAAAAATTAGAAACATATTTGAATAACAAATTTTCAAATATTTCTAATTCTTTCCCACATAATTTACATAATTTAATGATCAATTGCAAATTGATAGTTAAATCTTTATTTTGAATATTTTTGTATACAAATACATAAAACACAATATATTTATAAAAAAAACTTATATGTTTATATAAAATATTTATAAATATACTCCTATACTTTTAATATTTACATTGCCTCCAAATTACCGTATCCCCATTTCCCCGTTTCCGTGCTGCATAGGACTAATTTGGGTGCATCAATCTTAAACAGACACTTAATAATAAGAAAGAAACAGATCTAGTACATTATTAATTAACACAAAAATACTAACAAAATAACATACTTATTTTGTCATCAATTAAAAAAAAAACATACTAGTTGAAATATCAGTCTATACATATACATTATACATATAAAAAAAAAATGTATGTATATCTACTGATCATCAGTGAGAGAAGAAGCATTGCCGCCAGTGGAAGAGTGAGAAGGAGAGTTCTTGTGATTATGCATCCAAACTTTGAAAACTTTTCGACTAATCCCAACTCCTCTGCAGAATCTCTCAATCTCATCTTCTTGATCTTTCCTCTGCAGCCTCCATTCCAGCTTCTCGGCGAACCCCATCATTTTCTCCTTCTGCTCCTCCGTGAACTTCGTCCTGAACCTCTTCTTGCTGCTCTGTTCCGGCGAGTACGCCGCCGCCATCTGCTGCATCCGCCGCCCGGATCCGCCGCCGCCGTACTCCGTCATCTCCGCCGCCACGTCGCCGCTGCTGCGTGTGACGATGACCTTGCGGTGGAAGTTTCGGTGGCAGCCGCATGCAGCGCAGTTGAGTCCTCCGCCGGCGGCGGCGGCGGCGGCGTCGTCGTCCGGTGTGAACTCGCCGCAGCCGTCTGTGGCGTAGCTCCCGAGGCTGGCTGCATGGTTCCTCAGGCATTCTCTGTACATTTCGTTGCTGCTGTTGTCTCCCTCCATCTCTCTCTCTCTCTCTCTTGATCTCTCTCTTGATCTCTCTTGATCTCTCTGTGGTTCTTGAAATATGTAGATATAAATGATTTTGGAAGAGAAAATTAAAGTGAACGTGGTGGCAATGAATTACACTGTTGCTACTTTTGTTGACATATAAGAAACTACTAAAATTTTAGTTGGATATATACATATATATACATACACATATACATATATATATTATATACACACACACACAAAGAGAGAGAGAGGATTTAATGTAGAGGTTGGTTAGGTATTGTGTAATAAAGGAGACATTCAATGTAGTAAAAAAAAAAATTATTTTTATTTTTAATTTTATTTTGATTTATAATTTTTTAGCAGTGATAATTTGAGACGACAAATAGACAATTGACAGCAAGAAATTGCAAATTTTTGCCTAAAAGAAAAATGAGTTATAAGAAACAATATCTTGCCAATATATTGACACAATGTGGGGCTGTAAGGAGTTGTGGCTACATTACAGCCACTGTCTTATTTTCTATATATAAATATTTTTTTTTAATTTGGGTATTTAATTTGTATGTGTTGATAAGTTTAAAAAATAAAATTCATGGACCCAAGCTAGTCTTTTCTTTATATTTTGTGAATGTTTTTTTTCTTAGACTCTCTTAACTAAAGTGTATTTCCTACACTTAGAGATGATTTTGGGCTCAAATTATTATGTTCTCAAACCCCACACTTCAATAATTTTCAAACATGATGGAGTTATTTTACACTCGAGAGTCAGATCAAATGAAAGTATGTACCTGCGTATAAATTTTACTCGAAAAATTTATACGTGGAAAATTTCAAAATGTAACACGCCTGCCCGTAAGGGCGTGAGTGTTAAATATAAATTGAATGTCTAGTAATTCTCATCACTGACGGTTTAATGTTATAGATAAAGTAGCCGCTCGTTCGAAATAGTCATTTATAATTTTCTCGAAAACAAAATCATGTTCTTTTCCTTAAAGAAGAATTGTAATTTCGGTTCCGATCTATGTTGTTCTCTACTTAAGTATTTAGTCTTCTAAGTTATCCTATTTCAATTCACATGCAATAACTTTGCAAATCTAGCATTTTTGGTCCTCTCTTACCTGCTTGAATTCAAATTATAGCATATGTCAAATGAACATGACTGATTTTGCTTATACAGACTTCTGAAAAATTATAATCTAATCATCGTAGTCTTTTATAGAATTTTTATCGTGCAATATGACAAGTATATAAACTAAGTTAGAGGACTATATATAATCTACAAATATTCGTATAACTAAATTTTGACGAGGTTGTTAGCCACATAATTTATCAAATAGTGGAATCAAAATTATAAGCAAAATAGGACCAAAATGCTAGATTTATAAAGTTATTGCATGCAAAATAGAAATAGGACAATATTAGAGGACCAAATTCCTAAATTGACCAACATAGAGGACCGAATTTAAAATTTTCCTTTTTCTTAATATAACTCTACATAGTTTTGTGGGGGAAATTCTATGCTACACCCGGTGAATATAACCAGGCACCCTAATTAATAAGATTCCAACGACGGGTTCAGTTATGGCCCAATGAATTTTAGAAATATAATTATAAAATAAATAAAAATGACACATGTCAAGAAAAGAACCACCCGATGAAAATCACCGGGTGTAGCATCGCATTCCCTGTTTTGTGGCAAGGGTGTAGTTTTGGTTGATTTGACATTTGATTTGTTGCCAAGTTTTAAGGATTTGAGTAAAATGTTTGCTATGATTGTAGATTTAATTATAGTAATTCCTATTGTTATTTCTAGAAATGCTTATTGTTATTGTTCCCATTCCATTTTTTTTCCCTATTCAAAATTGTGTGACACTATTTAGGCATGTGATGCATGTCTTAAGATAGAATTCTATGGAAGTATTCAAGAATTTGTCATTTTCCACGTCATCGGAACCTATTTTTTTCACACTCTGACATGGGTCTGGTACCGACAAGAAAACAAACTTTGTTGAAGTTAATAATTAAAATCTCTATACTGCAGCTGTCAGTACTCGATCCTAGGATATTGCACCAACTTATCACTCCGAAACCAGTTGAACTATACACACACGGGCTTCTAGATATCTATCTTAAAAGAGTAAAATGTGTCCTTAAGTATTGGATTAATCAAGAACTTAATTACTATAATATGGCAATTATTAAAATAATTTCTCCCTCTAATTTGGACATGACACCATACACATGAACAAATGAATAATGAAAAATGGTGCAGAGCCAATGTATCTATGGTAATTGTGATTAATTATTTGTGAAGGAACTAAGCATTACAGTTGTATTAGTTTGATAGTCAGCTTTTGTCCCAGTTCATGAACACAAAATATTCTCTTACTATATATTTTACTTTTCTCTTCATTATTAATTTTAACCCTCTCATACAGACATACTCACATTAATATATATATATATATATATATATA